TGCCCAGGCTGGAGTGCAGGTGGTGCAGTCTCGCTAACTGCAAGCTTCCACCCCCAGGTTCACGCCATTCTTCTGCCTCAGCTTCCCAAGCAGCTGGTACTACAGGCTACAGGCGCCCACCAACACGCCCAGCTAATTTTTTGTATTTTTTAGTAGAGACGGGGTTTCACCGTGTTAGCCAGGATGGTCTCGATCTCCTTAACTCAGGATCTGCCAGCCTTGGCCTCCCAAAGTGCTGTGATTACAAGCGTGAGCCACCACGTATGGCCCGACTATTTTTTTAATATTAGAAATTATATATAGAGATAAAAACTTTGAGCTCATAATCTATGATTTGGTGAGACTACTAAAGGGCATCTAATCAAGTCTACTCCTCTCAGGAGAAATTGATTCCAAAGTTTGTTAAGTTGTATATTTATTAAAAACACGAAGGTGAGACTCTAGGAGAGGTATGGGCAGGGTTAGGGGCTCTGGAAAGTTCAAATACAAGTCCAAACGTTTAGAGTTGAGGTGAACAATGTGTATTCAATATTATTCTAAACTCTTGCTATTATTCATACTAATCGAAATTTAATAACTAACCAAGGCGATATTTTCCTTTTGCTTTTTCTAGAGATTTATCCTGCAATAAAATACAGTCTATTGAAAGACGTACATTTGAACTACTACCATTTTTGCAGTTTATGTAAGTTACACATATAACTTTATTATATTTGGCATTTTTATAAAACTTAATTATAAACTTCTTTGCTATTCATTTTGAAATATGGTTAAAATTTTACCAGTAGAAAGCTACTAAAATTATAGAGCAAATCCTTTTTGTCTCTAGCAAGGATTAGTGTGAGAATTATGACACAGATCATAGTGAATCATCAAGAGAGCAGTGGTTCTCAGGTGGTGTGATTTTCTACTCAGGTGGCATTTGGTAATGTCCGGAGACAGTTTTGGTTGACAAAACTGTGGGTGTGCTTCTGGCATCTGGTGGGCAAAGGCCAGAGATGCTGCTAAACATCCTGCAAGGTACAAGACAAATGCCCACAGCAAACAGTTATAGAGTCCAAAATGTCGATGGTACTGAAGTTGTGAAATCCTGTTCTAGAGAAATAAAGATCACTTCACACTTCACACAGGTATTTACTGAGCGCTCACTGTTTTGTAGCTAATGCACCACATGTGCAATGTTAAAGTATAAATCATAAGCCAGAATCTTCCACAGTGAGATTTCCTTAGTGCATAGAGAAAGGATTGAGGTTATATTCCATCCTATATAAATTAGAATCATGGCAAATGATGAATGTTCTGAAACAATTTTTTTTTCCTTTGGCTTGTGTCTTTTTTTTTTTTTTGTAGAAATCTTGGTTGCAATTTACTCACAGAACTGAGCTTTGGAACATTTCAGGCCTGGCACGGAATGCAGTTTTTATACAAGTTGTAAGTGAAATAGAAGATGAATACATGTAAAGAACTATTTATGTATAAAAACTCATACAATTATTAGTTAGCTGGGTATAAGCCCTTTATGAATTCTGAAAAGTATATCTTAAGATCCATTCGTTTTTCTCAATTGGGGAAACTAAGGTACAAAGAGGCCAAGAGACGTACATAGCTTATATATGACCTACTCTGCTTGTGCTAGTTCTGACCTATGCATCGGCAAGAAAAGGTATCAAAGAAGTGACCCTCAACTTAGCCTTGCTGCTGGTCTGGGTGGCTTAGGCCTGTAATCCCAGAACTTTGGGAGCCGAGGTAGGCGGATCACCTGAGGTCAGGAATTCAACACCAGCCTGGGCAACATAGTGAAACTCCGTCCCAACTAAAAATACAAAAAAACTGGCTGGGCTTAGTGGTGCAGTTTTTTGCCCCTGCAGGAATCTGTGTTAAGCTTCCTTACTTGCAGCTAAATGTTGCAGACATTTAAGCAGTTAGAAACTCTGCATATCAGCAGGAATCAAAGTTAAATCCAAAGTGTAGGGCCGGGCATGGCAGCTCACACCTGTAATTCCAGTACCTTGGGAGGCCGAGGTGGGAGAATCACTTGAGGTCAGGAATTTGAGACCAGCCTGGCCAACATGGCGAAACCCCGTCTCTAGTAAAAATACAA